TGGAAGATGAAGGGGAAGCAAGCACGTCTTACATAGTGGAGCAGGAGCAAGAGAGACAGAGAGGGGAGGTGCTACACACTTCTAAACAACCAGATCCCATGAGAACTGACTGACAGGAGGACAGTACCAAGGGGAGATGGTGTTAAATCATGAGAAACCACCCCCATGATCCAATCACCTCCCATCATGCCCCTCCTCCAACATTGGGGATTACAATTCAGCATGAGATTTGGGTGGGGACACAGATCCAAACCATAACACAAGAGCTGTTTGACAAATTGTAATCCCACAAAAATGAAAGAGATTCAACTTTGATTTAGAATCTACAATAGCAAAATTTTCACCATTTGGTAAACAGCCATGACACATGAGGCAGCATCAAGTCTAATCACTGAGCCCTGTCAAGCACAGGAGAGCTTCCTGAGTGTCATCCTTAAGGTACATGTTGTACCTGTACAGGTGAGAGCCATTTTTTGGACAAGATAATAGAGGAATCCATGTTAATGTAACTCACTGCTGAGTTGGCAATGAGCTCACTCATTGGCAGCCAAATGAAAAAGCCCATATGGGAAGAAATTAATAAAGCTGGCATGTTTTCTGTTCCTATCAGCATAACCCAAGATATAGAGATAAATAATGTTTGTTCAGTAATGACTCAAATGTGTCACAGGCATTTTGAGAGAATGTCTATGGTAAAGTTTAAATATTAGGACAATTATAGTCCATTGTGTCCCTTGTCCAAGATGAATAAAATAGTGTTTCAAAAAGGACTGGGTTTACATAATACTTCATATTTTACATAAAGACTCTGCATAGTTGAAATAAAAGTGGCCTGATGCTGGAATTCAAGAGTCCTGATTTTGAGGCCTGCTTTGCTGGTTTACAGTTGGTAGTTCTCAACAAGCTATTAACACTCTGTGTGCCTCAGTTTCCACACATTTGAAAATGGGGTTGATACTATCTCATAAGATTCTTATAAAGGTTGAATGGAAAACTAAAAAGCACTTTGCAAATGAGAAGCATTATCATCACCATCATCATTATCTTCATCATCATCATGTTATTTTTACTTTCTCAACAATCCCCTGAGGGAGCAAGATAGAGCAAGTAGACCATTCACAAATGAGACTGAAGGTGAGAGGATTTAAGTGACTTCCCAAGGTCACACAACTAGGAAGACTAGCATTCCCATCACAGCTATGAAAAACTGGGTGAAATTTAGCTGAGGAACATAAAGGTTTTCTATTTTGGATCTCATCCTTTAAATCATAGAATTATAAAAATGAAAAAGTCAGGACTGTGTTTAGATACAAGCAACACAGACCCCTGCCAAGGGTCTTGTGTGTTAGTTAACAACAAGGGCCAACCAGCTGGACCAAATACGGCCTGCTTTGGTTAATAAAGTTTTATTAGAACACAGTCACCCTCATTCATTTACAAGCTGTCTTTGGCCGCTTTTGCACTACAACAGCAGAGCTGAATGGTTGCAATAGAAACCCTATGGACCACAATGCTAAAAATATGTACAATCTGGCCCTTTACGGAAAAAGTTTGCCAACTCCTGCTTTAGAAGGCCCTGGTATCACAAACCACACAAAAATAAATGTGTTAAAGAACACATGGCTGTTCTATTTGGTGATTGGCACTAGAAGAGTGTGACTCATGTCCTTGAATAGCCACTGTTGTGACCAGTACTCCTCAGGCCTCAGACCCCAGATCACATCTGCCTGTGTCCTTGAGACCAAAGAGACTACCTCCGGATGCCAGGAAGGTTTGAGACTTCTGCCATTGTTCACTTGGGCCAGCAAGGCCTTGGGTCTGGAGGAGAATTTGAGCAGCATAAGTACTTAGAAAACAGAAATGAAAAATCAAGTAATTTGTCAAACCCTCCCCCAAAACAGCATAAACTACAGTAGATTCTTGCATATGAAGTATCATTTCCCAGTGGAGGCGGGCGTCCTTGCTCTCTTTGAGTTTCAATTCCTGGTTTTGGATCTGGGGGTGTTCACAGATTGGCAAAGTACACAGATGCATGTGGCAACTGGGGACCATTTTGCAATATTAAGTAATAATGTTACTTGAAAAATTTTTTTAGGTAGGTCATCATATAATATGCGTGAATTGTGATGCTTTTTTTCTATATTGGCAGCTAGATGGACGTTGAACAGTAGAATTGTGAATGGTGTTATTTTCCTAAAATGATTTCATTTAAATAATTTTTATTTAAATATTTGACATTGTCCATTCAGGCTGCTGTAACAGAATACCTTAGATTGTTTAATTTATAAACAATACAAGTTTATTGCTCATAGTTCTGGTGACTGGGAAGTCCAAGGCCAAGACACCAGCTGACTCAGTGTCTGCTGAAGGCCTGTTTCTTCACAGATGGTGCCTTCTATGGGTCCTAACATGGTGGAAGGGCAAAAGGGGCTCACAAGCTTTTCACACCTCTTTTATAAGGTCACAAATCCCATTGTGAGAGCCCTCATGACCTAATCACCTCCCAAAGTCCCTACCTTCTAATAATATGAGCTTGGTGATTAGATTTCAACACATAAATTTTGGTGGGATACAAACATTCAGATCATAGCAGATATTCATGTATTATAATTTGTATTTTGCCTCTTAATTTTAAAGATAAATTTTGAATTTTTAGAAGAAAAATACACATTTGAAAGCACAAAAGTTTTAAATTGGGGGACTTTTAAATATTTATTTTTATTTAAATTATTTGATGAAAACATTCAAATTGTGTATGCTTTGAATACCAATATGTCTTATTTTTATAATCCTTTGAGCATTACTGTCAATGAAATAAAATCTAGGCTTCTCATTTTTATTGGTAGTCATGCTTTTTCAGTTTTGGCAATAACAAAAACAATATGCCTATCTTTAATTTTTAAAAAAAAAATTAGAGAACAGATGAGAAAGTGACTGAAGAGAATCATTAATATGGTCCGAATAGGGACTTTAGTTGGAATTGGGTTGATTCCATTTTACTCCAATGTGTTAGTCTGTTCTCATGCTGCTAATAAAGATATACCCGAGATTGGGTAATTTATAAAAGAAAAAGGTTTAATTGGTTCACAAGTCAGTATGGCTGGGGAGGCCTCAGGAAACTTACATAAATCATGGTAGAAGGGGAAATAAACCTGTCCTTCTTCACATGGTGGCAGGAAGGAGAAGTACAGAGCAAAGTGGAGAAAAGCCCCTTATTAAATCATCAGCTCTCATGAGAACTCACTCTCTATCATGAGAACAGCATGAAGGAACCAACCCCATGATCTAATCACCTCCCACGAAGTTCCTCCCACAGCACATGAAAATTACAATTTGGATTACAATAAAGATGAGATTTGGGTGGGGACATACAGCCTGACCATATCATTCTGCCCCTTGCCCCTACAAAATCTCATCTTTCTCACATTTCAAAGCACAATTTTGTCTTCCCAACAGTCCCCCAAAGTCTTAACTCATTCCAACATTAACCCAAAGCCCAAGTCCAAAGTCTTATCTGAGACAAGGCAAGCCCCTTCTACCTAGGAGCCTGTAAAATCAAAAGCCAGTTAGTTACTTCCTGGATACAATGGGGGTACAGGCATTGGGTAAATACATTCATTCCAAATGGGAGAAATTTGCCACAATAAAGGGGCTACAGGCCCCATGCAAGTCTGAAATCCAACAGGATAGTCATTAAATCTTAAAGTTCCACAATGATCTTCTTTGACTCCATGTCTCACATCCAGGTCACACTGATGCAAGAGATAGGCTCCCATGGCCTTGGGCAGCTCCGTCCCTGTGACTTTGCAGGGTACAACACCCCTCCCTGCTGCTTTCGTGGGCTGATGTTGAGTGTCTGTGGCTTTTCCAGGTGCACAGGACAAGCTATTGGTGGATCTACCATTCTGGGGTCTGGAGGACAGTGGCCCTCTTCTCACAGCTCCTCTAAGCAGTGCCCCATTGGGGACTCTGTTGGAGCTCCAACCCCACATTTCCCTTCTGCACTGCCCTAGCAGAGGTTCTCCATGAGGGCTCTGCCCCTGCAACAAACTTCTGACTAGACATCCAGGCATTTCCATACTCCTCTGAAATCTAGGTGGAGATTCCCAAACTTCAATTCTTGACTTTTGTGTACCTGCAGGCCCAACACTACATGTAAGCTGCCAAGGCTTGAGGCTTGCAACCTCTGAAGCAACAGCCTGAGCTGTGCCTTGGTCCCTTTTAGCCATAGCTGGGATGCAGGGTCCCAAGTCCCAAGACTGCACAAAGCCCCAAGGCCATGGGCCCTGCCCATGAAACCATTTTTTCTTCCTAGGATTCAAGGCCTCTAATGAGAGGGGCTGTCTTGAAGGTCTCTGACATGCCCTGGAGATATTTTCCCCCATTGTCTTGGTGATTAACATTTGGCTCCTTGTTACTTATGCAAATTTCTGCAGCTGGCTTGAATATATCCCCAGAAAATGGGTTTTTCTTTTCTATTGCATTGTCAGGCTGCGAATTTTCCAAACTTTTATGCATTGTCACCTCTTGAACACTTTGCTGCTCAGAAATTTCTTCTACCAGACACCCTAAATCATCTCTCTCAAGTTCAAAGTTCCATAGATTTCTCGGGCAGGGGCAAAATGCTGCCAGTCTCTTTGCTAAAGCATAGCAAGAATCACCTTTGCTCCAGTTCCCAAAAAATTCCTCATCTCCATCTGAGCCCACCTCATCCTGAACTTCATTGTCCATATCACTATCAGCATTTTGGTCAAAGTCATTCAACAAGTCTCCAGGAAGTTCCAAACTTTCCCACAACTTCCTGTCTTCTGAGCCTTCCAAACTGTTCCAGCTTCTGCCTGTTACTCAGTTTCAAAGTCACTTCCACATTTATGGGTATCTTTACAGCAGCACCCACTACTACTGGTACCAAGTTACTTTATTAGTCCTTTCTCACACTGCTAATAAAGACATACCAGAGACTGGGTAATTTATAAAGGAAAGAGGTTTCATTGACTCACAGTTCATCATGGCTGGGGAAGCCTCAGGAAGTTAAAAATTATGGCAGAAGGGGAAGCAAACACATCCTTCTTCACATGGTGGCAGGAAGGAGAAGTGCAGAGCAAAGCAGGGAAAAGTCCCTTATAAAACCATCAGATCTCATGAGAACTCAGTCACTATCATAAGAACAGCATGGGGGAACCACCCCCATGATCTAGTCACCTCCCACGAGGTCCCTCCCCCAACACATGAAAATTACAATTCGGATTATAACAGAAGATACAGTTTGGGTGGAAACAGAGAGCCAGACCATATTATTCAATATTTCTGGGAATCTGTTCCTCAGGAAAAGAAAGGAAGTGGGGGAAAAAGTTCTGTTCCATTTTGGGACTGCATAATCCCATTTAACTTTGCTTTCCAGTGGGTTTAGGTTTCTTTTTCCAGTGACTCATTTACTAGGAGGCTGCTTCTCACGGGGGCTTCCTCCGACGCCAGCACAGAGTTCCTTGAAGCCCCACCTGAGATTGCATTTCTTAGGAGGAGGAGGGAGGGCTGCTGGGCTGGTCTGTAAACAAGGCAGCCTTTGTCCCATTTATCCCGAAGACAGCTTCTTCCCCTGGGGTGCCATTAGGGCAGTCATTCAGGGAGCTAACAAAGAAAGGCATTTCTCTTGTGAAGAGAGACACTCTTCCACATCCACCCAAGGCCCTCCTGGAAAACTGGCACCAGGTGTATTTCATTACTCAAGTGGGTTCCAAGGCAAGCACTCAGCTCTGCCACCCTGGGCCTGGGGGAACTTCTTCCACACTTCAAGGAAATAATGCATTCATTTTTTAGCTCATTCATTCATTTAACAAATATAGACTGCACACCTATTGTGTGCCAGGCACTGTGCTAGGCATAGGAGCACAACTGTGAATGTGGTCAATGTTTTCCTGTGCTACATTAAATAGATTTGGTCTTTGTCCGTGGTTCCTGGCACAGCACTCTTGAAACCCTTGGGATTTCCAGGAGGGAGTATTTGTGGCTGGTCACCAGAAAGACTGAGTGGTTAGAGGGTTGGAAGTTTCAGCCCACCTGCCCACCTCCTGGGATGGGAGGAGGTGGGAGCTGGAGATTGAGCGCTATAAAACTCTTGGACAATGAGATTTGGAGAGCTTCCATGTTGGTGAATGCAGCCACCTGCCGAGAGGCTGGCACTCCCCAGCTCCATGAGATAGACGCCCTTGCGCATGGGACTCTTTTGGACTTTGCACTGTGCACTTCTTCATCTGGCTGTTCATTTGTATCCTTTATAAATTAACTAGTGTTGGGACGCAGAAAACAATTCCCCAAAATGAAGGCCTCCAAAGCCACCTCAGAAGCAAAAAGTTTTTCTCTGACTTTCTGCCCTGCTGTCTCTCAGTCACATTCTCCCCAGAGGCAAGCCATACCAAAAACTAAAATTCCTCTTCCCCAAGATGGGTTATAGAAACCAGAACCCCATTTCCCCAAAGCCAGCCATAACAAAATATGACTCTAACTCCCCCTCCCTTTCTGTGTAAAACCTGGCCATAAAGAAATGATCTGACCTACTTTGTTTTACTGTAGGTCATCAGACTCCCATTCCAGAGAGGGTCCTGTCCCACACCCAGAAGGAAGGATGCTCAGAGAGGCCGATAGAACCTAGACAGACAGGCCTTGCTGGGTTTCCTCACTCAGTCTATTAGCATCGGATCTCCCTTTTTGTCCAATCATATTTTTTACATAACTCTCCATACTTTGTTGAACCTAGGAATAAAAATGGACCATTCTCCCTGTATCTTTGGGTCTTCATCTTGAAGGCTACAGGGTCACATAAAATGATGATCAAATAAACCTGTGTGCCTTTTCTCCTATTCATCTGCCTTGTCAGTGATTTTCAGCGAAGCTTCAGAGGGTGAAGGGTAAGTTTTCCCTTGGCCCAGACACCAGCAAATGTAAGTAAAGTATTTTTCTGAGTCCTGTGAGCCACTGTAACAATATGAAATGGGGAAGGGGTCATGGGAACCCCTGATTTACAGCTGATCAGTCAGAAATATGGGTGGCCTGTGCCCTGCAACTGGCATCTGAAATAGGGATAGTTTTGTGAGACTGAGTTCTTGACTTGTGGGGTTTGCACAAACTCTGGGTTACTAACTCTGATGTCAGAATTGAATTGTAGGACACCCCACTGGTCTTGGAAAATTTGTTGGTGTCAGAAAACATCCCAGAGTTCCCTACCGCAATGAGCTTACCACATGTGGCAGGGAAGAGAAACAGTGAAACAAGTCATTATGATAAGATAATGAGTTTGAAGAGGGGGAAGAATGAGGTGCCCAGAGGGCCCACAGCAGGGGGATTTGCCCTAACTGAGGACAGATAGAAAATGTCCCTGAAGTTGGGCGCAGTGGCTTGCGCCTGTAATCCCAGCACTTCAGGAGGATCACTTGAGCCTAGGAGTTTGCACTCAACCTCGGCAACATGGCGAAAAATCATCTCTACAAAAAAAAAAAAAAAAAAAAAAAAAAGGTTAGTTGGGCTTGGGGGCACGCACCTGTAATCCCATTTACCTGAGAGGCTGAGGTGGGAGGATCACCTGAGCCCAGGAGGTTGAGGCTGGCAAAGAGGGCAAGGAAAGAGCTCCAGGGAGAGGGAGGAGCATGGGCCTGTGGGAGGGCTGGCTGAAGACAAGGCTGGAGGTAGAGTGGGCCTGCATTTAAAGGACAGCTATGCCAGGTAAGACAAACACTGGAATAATCCTAACCTCAGGATGATAACAACTTCACAAAGCCTTTCAGACACCTGTGGATATTTCCCCTTCAGAATGCTCCTGAGCCTCATTCATTCATTCAACAAGTGTCGAGGAAGCACGTTTCATGTGCATGTGCTGGTGAGGAGCTGGGACTACTCGGTGAAATCAGACGTCATCTGTACAATGGAGGAAACAACAGGCTGGCCCTGAGGAGAAGAATCATAGATGCAGGCTTGCTTCTGCCCATCACCTCTTTATGGGATAGCTCTGCTTGCAGTCAGTGTGGTTTCATTGGCACTAATGTCACCTCTGTTAGCTCCAAGAAGGAGCGTGTGACCAGGACTGGCTAATCAGAGTATCATAATCCTTTTGGCTATTGTGATTGGTTCAGAAATGGACACATGACCTGAGTTCAGCCATTTAAATCCTTCCTCAGGACTTTTGATGGAGCTAATGAGGAAGGCATTCGCCATCTGAGACAGTACATAAGAACAGGGTAAGCCTGGAGATGTCAGGAGCTGCCTTTACCACCTCATGGAAAAAGTTTGCCTGAAATTAGAGCCAACGCAGAGGAAAGGCGATCTAAAAGGTGTGTAGACAGATGCTTGAGTTCCTGGGTCCAGCTGTCCCTCCTCCTACATGGATGGGTGTCAGACTTTGTAGTTACAGGAACCAACAAACTCACTTTTGTGTTGAAGTTAATGAAAGTTGAGGTTTTTTTGACTTACAAGCAAGAATTCTGATTAATACAGCAGGTACATGGGCCACCAACTTCACAATAATCTGATAAATGCCGTTATAATAAAGGAAAGGCAAGGAGGCGGGACAGTATAATGTGGGAGGGACTGGTGCAGCTCACGCTGCTGGCCCAGCTCATCTCTGTCTGCCCCACCCTGGACGTGCCCTGTGGCATCAGAAGACAGTTTTCATGAATATTATTGGCTTTCTAGCTCAAGGTCCTGTGTAGGTGTGTGCTCAACCCAGCCACAGGACAGGTTGGAAGTGCTGAGTAGTTAGGACTCAAGGACCAACCTTTAACCCGTGAAGGATTGCATTTAGAGTTTCAGCACCCCAGCCCCCCTACTTCTGGGTGGAATAGTTCAGAGGTGTTCTTTTCTTAACCCTTCATAAGGTCCCTGGCAGGTTGTGCTGAATTGTCCATAGATGGACCTTTTTGCTGGCTTTCCTCCTTTCTCTGTCTCACTCCCCTACTCCTCACCTGGGCATCCTGGGATCACCTCCCAAGTAGAGCATTTGCATCCAAACGCTAATCTCAAGGGTCTACTTTTGGAGAACACAAACTCAGACAGAAGACCTCTGCAGACAGACCATATAGGTTTGGATCCCAATGATGATGCTTCCTGTTTGACTTTGGACAATGTATTTAATTGTATGTCTCAGTTTCCTCATCTATAAAAAGAAGATAGTAATTTCACCATCTTATAAAATTGTTGTGAGGTTGAAATGAGGTACCACCTACAAAGAGCTCCCAACAATGTAAGTGCTGCGTAAATACTGGTTATTGTTCTTTTTATTCCTCTTCTTATTGTTATTGAGTGTTGTCTAAGCACGACCCAAGGGTCTGGGAAATCTTGGAAGAGGTGACACTTTAGCTGAATCATGAGGGACCAGCAGGAGCTGGGATGAAAACGAAGGAGAGGGCCACCTCGAGCAGAGGGAATGAAGGGCTCCACTTTGGAACTCGCTTCTCTGTCTAAGCTAATAATTCTAGGAGATTATATCTTTTTGAATGCATCCGAAAATACCTTTTTTGGATACAAGATAACTTTTGATACCACTTTTTGTTTTGTATCCACTGCAGAAGAATTAGAGTAGAAGTGGCAAAAAGGACTTTGAGTCCTGTAAGAGTTAAATCACCCAAATGAGAGGTGTGTATGCGTGTGCATGTGTGTGTGTGTGACATTTTCTCCCAAGACAGGAAAAGGGCCTGCAGAATGTAGTCCCAAGAAGAGATGTGCCATGCTCCATTTGAGTTCCTGGGGTTGACAGCAGGACTTCAGAGGGGCGTGTGTCTGGTGCACTTAGAGAATAGAGCCCAGACACCAAGGTCCCAGTTTGAGAAAGAGCCCTTTCCCTGAGATTGGCATGAGAGCCATGGGCTTGGGCAAGAGCGTAACATCAGAGACTGGTGTCGGCTGAAGACCAGAGAGCCCTTTCCTCTGTGTTTTGCTCCATATGCTCACTCTTGTTCTTGGTGGGTTTTCTTATGTGTTTTGTAATCTCACTTTAGTCAGGCTTTATCTACATGGTCTGGGTTGAAGATGTAGCCCTCCACGGTGGTTCTGC